GTTGGGAGATCTAAATGTTTTGAATCTATCATTCTCAAGGGTTTAAGTTGCACTCTAAGTAAAAGCTACATTTCAAATGATCTGTAAAAAGCCCAGAATCAAAAGCAGCTTTTGTACTGGACAAGAGAGTTATTGGGACACAGATTTTCCTTGTAGCTCTAAAATGCACTGTCTTACAAAAGACACAGCTGAAAAACAATGGCTTAAGATTCACATATTTTTTCTGATTCGTGATTTAAAATATATTTGTGCATGACACCTATTTTGTAGTCATCACATGCTTAAACACATGCAAAGGACAAAATAAATTTTAATTTGAGCAATCTTTTATTTTAGTTGAAGCAATCTCATTTTACCTTTGGCAGGAAAGGACAAAGGCAGCTAACTAAATAATACTTTTTCATAATAGTATTATTTTTGCATTATATTTGGACCATGTAATTTAATGCACATCACTTTCCAAGAAAAAAGCATAAAGTAGCTGACACTGAGCTGCTTCAAAAAATTGAAGTTGTTACATTGCCTGAAATCTCTGCTCAAGTATTAACTAATAGAATCTAATTAGCTAATTAACTAATTAACTAAGAATCTATAGTATAGTGCAGCAGTTTCCAAAAGACCTATGCTTGAAACATCGTCAAATTAAGCGTAATCCACCTGAAGATGTGGATTGCTGAAACTGAGACTGAAGGCTTTATATGAGTACAAACAAAAACTGTGTACTTTTATTTCTTGCAGCAATACATGCCAAATGCATCAAAACAAGCATGCAGGAAGTCTGTCAAACCAGCAGCCTGCTGGCCTTATGCAATGCACACGTCAGCAAACACAATTTTCCATTTGGGTTTTTTTCTACTGTACCAAATGCACTGGTCGACTCTGGTGACTCTACCTCCTCTGCTGGCTTCTCAAGTGGTACCAGTGGTTTAGGATACCTGAATGCTACAACGAATTTTCAAAAGCAAAACAGCAATCAGTCATTACTTAAAATCTTCCAATCAATACTGGAGCATCTGCCAGCAAAAGATCCCTTATAAATATTAAGACTGGAATTCTAGGGGTTTTACACCAATTCCACTTGATTGTTTGAAGGGTTTTCTCTGTAAAAAAATAAGACAAAGTTTCTGCATTTAAGAATAGACAAGAACCTGCTTTAAGTTATGTGAGCAAGTAAAAATTCAGAATATGGAAGCAAACCAAACCACAACAGCAAAAGCATGAACTTCAGAAAACATTACCTTGCTGCAGATGGTTCAAAGGTAAGACAGTAACAGCTGACATTTTCAGAAAGCAGTTTCAGAATAGTTTCACCATGAGTGACCATGCACCAATTTTCTTGTTTATGACATAAAACCTCAGCCCCTAAATTACCTAATAGACCGGGTTTGAAGGGATTTAATGATCATCTAGTTCCAACCCCATGAGACACCTTCCACTAGACCCAATTGCTTCAAGCCCCATCCAACCTGGACTTGTAGGAAAGGGGCACCCACAGCTCCTCTGGACAACTTATGCCAGAGTCTCACCACCCCCACAGTAAATTAGCTATTCTTCCTAATAGCTAATTTAAACCTACCCTCCTCCACTTTAAAGCTATTCCCTCTTGCCCTATCACTGTCTATCTTCGTGAAAAGTCCTCTTCAGGACACTTGTAAACCCCATTTATGTGCTGGAATGTGCTACAAGGCGTCCCCAGACCATTCTCTACTCCAGGCTGAACAGCACAAATTTAATCAATATGGAGAAGCAGAGGGACAGACACTGATCTCTTGTCTGTGGCACACTCAAGAGAAAGGCCTGAGGTTGTGTCAGGGGACACTGAAGTTGGAGATCACGAGGAGGTTTCACATCCAGAAGGTGGCTGGATCCTGGAAGAGGCTCCCCATGGAAGTGGTCATAGCACCAATCCTCACAGAGCTCAAGAAGCATTTGGACAATGCTCTCAGGCACATGGTGTGATTTTTGGGGGTGTCCTGTGCAAGGCCAGGACCTAGACTTGACAAGTCTTGTGGGTCCCTTTAAACTCTGGATATTCTATGATTCTGTGATTCGTGAGGTTCAGATGTTAATGATCAGTAGAGCCTCAGCAGCACTCTTCCTTCTGCACTCTGACCTCATGAGAGGGCTCCAAGACTCGGGGCAGGATGTTGGGTGGTATATTAAAAAAAAAGTTCCAAAAGCAAAATGTAGCACATCCTTTCATCTGAAACACAATATTTCTTTCCACACCCAGTATTTTTGACTCAGCAGTGAGATTAGTAACGGTTCTGGTGTAGGCTGCAATGGTCCAAGAGCATAAAGGAACTCAGGCTGGCAAGAGTTTGTCATTTTACCAGCTTGACAGGGCACTTCAAACTTGTGAGTTAGACACTTGCCAGCAATCTGCCAGAAGACCTTTTCCTAGAATAGCAATCAAACACTAGAGTTAAAAAATTTATTGACCTAGGTCACAGCAAGGGGTAGAGTAATGACATTGCTCCACACACAGCATGGCATTCACCTGCATATGCTGGGTCTATGAAGAAAAGAAGAGAGAACTGTCCCCACCAGGTGCCATGGTACCTGTCAAAGCACAACAGCATGAACAGTTCCTCTTCTCCCAGCTCAGCAGGCTGAGGGCAGTCCTCACCACAAGCCTCACACTTGCACTGTGAAATCGCTCTTCAAACAAGTACTTCCAGAAGAATGGAATTACACTTTGTCGTGTTAACACCGATTCAGTTCTAACAGAAAGATGCACTAAAATCCAAGTGGTTCTAAAACACCATGGCAGATGAACCAGTTCATTCATATTAGCAAGAAGCATCTGATTCACGCAACAGAGAGAATCTTTTTCACAGGAGACTTGTTTAAAATGTCTAAAAAACTTCACTGAAATCCACTTGTCTTTGATGACATTGCATCTTTTCAATTAATGTTTCTTTGTAAAGCCATAGAAGTAGAGGCGCACAGGCTCAAACACTCCCTAAGCTATTCCAGTAAAATGGGGAGCTCATAAATTTTACACCAGAGCATAAGCCAGTGAGATTTCTTCTGATACCAAAGTAAGATTTCACCCAACAATAGCTAAAACCTTGCAAATTCCCTCAGAGATTCCGCACCAGCTGTCAGCCCAACTGAATGCAAGAAGGTGGAACCCTTTACCTGCATGCTATGTTTTTGTTGTTTTTTTTTTAAGTAGAAAAAAATGCAGTAACTTGGACTTATGAACAGTTTTCTATCAGAATGCACTGTTTTGTTCAGATTATTTATGTATCTCAGATTACTGTGTATGCTATGACATCCCAGTGCTTTCAAAGAGAAACTAGTTAGAAACTGCATTCTCCAAAGCCTGCAAATTAAATGACAAAACCAGCTGTCAAGACTCATTGCTATGGTGTTTTTGCATATTTTCCAGGTACACAACCTCAATACACAACCTCAACAGGCAGAGGAAGAAGAAATTTCACTTCTAAAGACCTTTTATTTAGTGATCATATCACAAAAGTCTTCCACTAAAAATATAAAATGCAACTGGGTGCTTTCAAGGAATTGTGATCAATGTACATACATTATATACCAAAAGCATCTATTTTATGTATTATATACACACACACATATTTTATGTGTATGTTCACAAAGATACATGGGATAGATATGGGAAAACAGGAATTGTTTTCCCATCTTTGCAACAAAAGATGGGAAAATAAAGGATTCTCTCACTCTCAAGATCTGATTTCGTAGAGGCCCTAGATAATCAGTGTTAGTAATATTAATGAAAAGTAGTTAAATCTGGGTTCAGGAATATTGCAAAGCAGCACACAAAAGACCGACATTAGCCTAGGAAGCAATAAAGACACTGCAAAAATGTCAAGCTTAGTATTTCTTACTTTAAAAAGTCACACTCTTTAGTATTTTCCCTCTTCGTTACCAGGCTTGCTGCACTGCTTACAACTGCATCTTTCATGAATCATCACATATCGTATATCACATTGGAAACTAAAGGTAGAAACCCTGAATATAATCTCCATAAGAAAAAAGTTACATCTTCTTTCTAATGCCACTTTTGTCAGTGGATTATTGCTAGAGAAGGTCAGAAACATTAAATCATTCTCCATATTTTCTGAAAGTCATCTCCATCATCCAAGAAAGAAACAACAGAAATTTGACTATCTGAAGCAAACAAAAGTAAGTCTTGATTAGGGGGCACCAGTTCTAGCAACAGAAAGCAGGACTGTTACATTTGAAATCAACCGACCTACTTGCTACTTCAGTGTTCCTGTAACTATGGAAATAGAAATATACAAATTACTTGTATTCAAATCCACATTTATTATCTCCATGTAGTGCAGCTGGGTGTGACTGACAGGCTTATAAGAAACACAAGCTAAAATTTAAAAACTTTGTTTCAAAGCTCCTCCTGGGAAAATGGGACACCTTATTCATCTTTCCAAGGTTCAAAAGGGGGGGGAAAAAAAAAAAAAAGACTTAAAGCCTTCAATGCAGAAGGAAAACTAAATCCAGACAAGAAAGGATTTGCAGTTGTCTTCAGAAACAACAGCTCAGTGATGTTTTGACTAAATTTTAAGATAGTAAGATATAGATACAGTCTAAATCAGGATAGTTTTCAAAATATTTTCTGAGAACTATTCTATCAAGATACAGTTTCACAGTCTTCCCCCAGTTTCTGCTATGCAAAATACATCTATGAATTTAAACTCGGGCTTTCAGCTCTCAGCCATCACATGCTCACAGATAGAGCTCTGTCTACTGAAGCACTAAAACAGCAGAATTTTATTCATAAGTGTTTATTCATAAGCTAGACTGCTTAACCAATCTCTAGTGCTCAGTATCTGGAAGCTCCAGGTAATACAGGTGACAAGGTGATGGCAGGCAGGAACATATCCACAAACCTCTCCCCACCTACAGTCTTCATGACTACAGCACAAACAGATGTTTTAAGTTTCAAAAAGGCTTCAGAGACTCACCTAACTTACAGGTAACAGCTACAACTCACCTACCTGAGGACCGTCCTTCAGCGTAGCAGCTGCAGCAAAGGATGGGTTTCCCCGCAGCCTCTGCCATTAGCGGAGGCCACAGATAGTGTGTCCTGTCATATTTCGTGCTAGGGCAATTAGCTGGTGGAACTGCATCCTTCTGGTGGTAGGCCTGGGAATGGGCTGAGGAACTTGCCCCATTTGGTTCTTGATGTGCCCAGGTCTCCCCATATTGCTGACAGCCTCCCCTAGCTGATATGGGGTCTGTTAGGGCACAGAAGAGGTAGTGAAGGAAGAAGGTCAAAACTTAACCCAATAAGGACTGTGTTAAGAAGGGTAAGAACTAACACCTCCCTTTCAATAAAGATTTATCACAGGCATAAAACAAGCTTAAGCATAGTAGCAAAACTGCACAGGCATTTTACGATTAAGGAGAGAACGATTTTTCAGGCTCAAACAGAACACGGGAATTTACGCAAGCAGTAAAGAAGAGAATTTGAAGTCTGCATTTGGATCACTTTCATTGGAAATCAACACGAAAGTACAATCGGTGACCTCAGCTAAAGAATCAGCTGCTGGGAGCTACAGCATGATGCCAACAAATGAGAAAATTGATAAAAAACCCAACATCTCTAAAACAGTTTTGTCTTGACTGAACTCATGATTTGTAAAGATCAAAAGTGACACTAGTCAATCAGAGAAAGTACCTAGAAAGCAAGGCACACATAGGTCTCCCCTGATCTGCTACTCACAACCTGCGTACCTATTCAGGTCAGGTCATTGCTACACAGTCATAATTTCAACAGCAGGAAAGGAACAATCATACAAAATATTTTCCAAACATAATAAAGCATTTTAAATACAGAATACAAACATCTCAGAAAAGTCTCTAATTTTCTTTCAAGTGTAGCCTTTCTATGCACCTTGTCTTCTTCTGGCACTCCACAGCATTCGGAGTGATGATCCATATCCTACACCTCTCTGCTGTTCCTCATACAAAATCTGAATTCTTTCAATATCAATACTCTACAGAAAATAGCTATGGGCAATAAATTCAAGATAGGTTTTTCCCTCCAATTTCTATTTAACAGACTTACTAGAAGCCCTTTTCAGTTATGATTTTTCTTTTTCATAATATATGAAGAAACAGAATTTCTTACAGGTAAAAGCTGACAGCAGTTTAATCATGCTGCAGTCTGTCAAAATATCCCATGAACAGAGGTGGCTAAAGGAAAAGGCTATCTACAAAAGAAGTCTTATCAAGATAGATCGGCAGATCAAGAATCTGACTCCAAGGTTGAGGTCCGATGGCACTACAACACTTTATGCAGACCTTACCTATGAGACTAAGCCCACAACTGAGATTTTGCTGAAACAATCTTTCCTGCAAGATTAATGACTACAGTTTCAGGCACAAGTGAACTGTAATTTCCACTAGTGGAATAAACTTAAAACCAACTAATAATCTTGCATGCAGTAAAATGTCTAAATTCAAACTAATGCTCTTATTACTTTGCTTCTAAATCTTGAATCATCAGAAAGTCACAGGATTTTACACAACAGACCTTCATATTATAACTAACAGCATCTGAGCAACAAGATATTAAATATGGCCATCTGTTGATTTATATCTGTATAAACGTTGAGACACTATACTGAAATTTTAAAGTCTCATTTTGATATCCACCACACGATCCTGCACGTAGATGGCTCCGTTCTGTTTAACCTGAGCAATAGCCGATGAGACAGAAACTCATGCAAAAACCTCATGGCAAGAACCCTTCAGAAGCTAAGAAGGATTTATTTGGGAAGAGTATTAGTTGTTAGTATTCAAAAGTTAGTGTCAACTTACAGTTCAAAGCATTCTACCCTCTGTGCTGTAAAACAAATAAAACTGATTCACTGTCTGCAAAACAGAAGTGCTGCTGCTCCCAAAATGAGGCATTTAAGTGAACTACTCTCACTCTGACTAGAAACAGTAGTGTTTATATGGAAGTGTGCTACAAACAAAACAAAAGAGATACCTGAAAGGGTTCTGTCTCTTCTCAAAAGCAACACTATTACAGATGACCCCCAGACCCGTTCTCTGCCCACCCAAATTTTTTTCCAGACATCTACAGAGGAGACACAAGGCACAGAAATGCCCTTTCCAAGGGCATGCTACTATCAAAGTCACAGAGGCCTAGATCAAATGCACACTGATCTCTTAAGTACCCGCTATCATCTTCACTGCAATAGGGATTGTAAATTACAGCTGAGGATCAGAACTAGAAGGAGGCTGCAATTAAGAGGATTTACTTTTGTCAGGTTTTGATTTGTTTGAGGAAAACAGTGTCAAGTTGGCAAGAACAGTTGGATTGGACGAGAAAAATCACTGTGAATGACTTTAATTGGCGTTGCATAGCCCTATATTCAGAGGTACATCAGTAAACCTCCCCAGCACATACACACCTTCCCGAATGAGAACCGATACTTCCAAGAAGCAGCGCCGGCAGCCCACCGTGCAGGAAAGTGTAACTCATGAATGAGCTCCCAGAGCAGCAGCAGCCCGGCGTCTCTTAAGAGCTCTGAAATCAATTTACTGCTGCCCTGGTGTCAGGAGGATTTGATGAGACACTTTCCTACTCCCATTCCGAAAAATGGCCACCCGTGGCTCTCTGAAACACCCGGTGAGATGAAAGACCCACCGAAGATTTGGCACACTGGGCCGATTTAAGTTCCAAAGGTGCTGCGGATGCTTCTGGAAACTAAATTTCAGGTCGTGTGCCTCATTTATACCCAATTACGCGAACACACAGGAGCGAGCGCCTCTCGATGCCTCCTCCTGCTGGAGTTTCCTACTCGCCCGAAGGAGTCGCTTGGGCGAGGGCGGGAGGACCCCCAAACTTTGGAGGCTCAGCCCCGCTCCGGCCCGGCCCTCCCGCCCTCAGCGGGCTCGGGGTGGGTCGCGGCTCACCTTGGG